CTCCTTCCTCCTCCATCTTCCTCTCCTCTTCCTCGCTCGCTCACGTCACGTCGCTAGACAGCTAAGCTAATTGCACGTCATTCTCGCACCCACTATGCGACACAACTCTAATCTACGATGAGTGAGTGAGAGTGAGAGAGAGAGGGAGCGAGCACTCTCTCTGGTCTCTCTCTTAATAATTAATCCTTGAGGCACGCATCGATAACAATCTTATTACACAAGAGACGACCCAACAGCGTGGATTTCACTGACCGTCAGGAGGTAAGAGGAGGCGGGAGGAATAGGGAGCATGGAAGAGGAGAGGGAGCGGTGAGGAGCAGGGCAAGGGGACGGGAGAGAGGGAAGGGGAGAGAGGGAGAGAGGGAAGCGTGAGAGGCAGAGAAGGAGATGCGGAGAGGAGAGAGAAGGGCAGCGGAGAGAGGTGGAGCGTGGAGAGGAGAGAGGGGAATGGGGAAAGAAGGCGAAGGGAGCGCAGGAGAGGAAGGGAGGGTGAGAGAGCGAAAGGGGGGAGAGAGGAAAGAAAGGAGAGAGGGAAGGGGGAGAGGAGAGAGGGAGGGGGGGCCAGGTGCCCTGAGCAGGAGAGAGGGCAAGAGGAAAGAGGGAAGGTGAGGAGAGACGGGAAGGGGAGGAGAGAGAGCGAAAGGGGTCGATAGAGGGAAGGGGAGAGAGGAATGTGTGAGAAGAAAAGGGCAGAGGGAGGGAGGGAGGGAAGGACGAGTGAAGGAGGGAGGGCGAGGGAAGGGGCAAGCCGGACAGACGGGGAGGGAGGGCAGAGAGAGAGAGGGAGCTAAAGGGGAGAGAGAGAGAGGGAAGGGGAAGAGAGGAAGGGGGAGGGAAGAGCAAGGGGAGGGAGAAAGGAAGGGGAGCGGAAGAGAGGCGAAGGGGAGGGGGGGAGAGGAAAGGCGGCGAGAAAGGAAGGGAGGAGAGAGGAAGGGGAGGGGAGAGAGGGAAAGGCGGCGAGAGGAGGGGGCGGGGCCTGCAAGAGAGGCGGAGCCGGATGGAGAGAGCGTGAAAGGGGAGGGGAGAGAGGGAAGGGGGAGAGAGGGGAGGGAGGAGAGAGGGAAGGGGAGGGGAGAGAAGGAAGGGGAGGGGAAGAACATCATGGGACCTCATTCTAAAGCACGGTATACGCAAACATTTACAATTTATACATCGATCGTAAGAGAAAGACAGATCTATATATATATATAGACAAAGAGATAGAAAGAGAGAGAGAGAGAGAAATAGAGATAGAGAAATAGAGATAGAGAGAAAGAGACAGAAAGAAAGAGAGAGAGAGACAGAGAAAGAAAGAGACAAAGAGAAGGGAAAAAAAGTGACGCGATTATTTTCGCCCTCATAGCGGCGCCCTCTACTACCCTACAACGAATTCGCCGCACAACCGCCCGACATGTACGACAACGCATGTAATTAATGGAATAGCAATAATTCACGGAAGGCTCCCCCACGCACACACGCGCTGGTGAGAGACGGAGATGCGCACGCGTGGGAGACAAGTAAATAATCGGGAGACAGAGAAAGACTCCTGCTGCCGGGGATGTCTGTTACCCGGAGAGAGATTCAGGCGCCCTCTAGCGGCCGCCGCGGGCAACCGCGCGGCGACGACGGTCGCAACGACCAATCGAAAATCGTCTTGTGACCGACTCCTTTCCGACGTGACCTTCGCCGTTCGCCGCGACCTCTGCCCTTAACCGCAGCGACCTAGGGACGCGACCTCTGTCATTTGCTGCTGCGACCCCGGGTCACGACCTCCTGTCATCGCCGCCGCGATCTCGCACCCGTAGGTGGCGCCGCCGTTGCCGCAGCCGTCGCACCCTAGGTGGCGCCGCCGTCGCCGCGACCTCGCACCCGTAGGTGGCGCCGGCGTCGCTGCCGCCGCGTTCACTGCTTGCTGCTCTGCTTGCGCCGGCAGGTGCGCTTGTGCTCCTTCCAGTGCTCCTGCTGGCACTGTATGCTGCAGTAGGACGTGTTCCAGCAGCAGTGGTACATCGCCTCCGCCTCGCAATTATTACACTGAAAACACACACCGCACAACTTATTATATATACATACATATATACATACATACATATCAGGAGCTAATAATGACAATTTGTCATTATTAGCTTCTGATACATAAACATATATATATATTAATTTATATATACAGTGTTTCCCCCTGCATTGACACGAGCCAGGCGGGCCGCCTCGCTCAAATTCTCAGCCGCCACACAGAAATTTGCCCAAAACACCGCATCGCTGACATAAAACAGTGCTTATAATGCACCAAAATACCTTATAATGCACCAAATTGCACATTTTTTTCACAAATTCAAAAATCTTCACCTGCGGTGCTCGCTTTGTTAGGACCTCGAAACGCGCAAACACACGCAAATAATTTTACCACCTCATAGAAGCCCTGTTGTTGACCACACAGCCATGCACGTAGCATTCTCTCCCACACAACGACGACGACGACAGTGACGTCACACACACGCGCAGACGCGTGAATTATTACCACGTCTGCATCTATGAATCGCACCTAGAGAGCGTAGAGACTCTGACTCAGGGCGTGTTTGTTAGGGACGAATCCGTCTGATCGAGATCATGTGATCCTGATCCGACCAAACAAACGCAAACTCACTTTCACCGGTTCACGTTTCGCTGTGACCTATCACGGGATGGTTCATAACAAAGAACAAACTGTGATTGGCTGAGGCGCGGGCCGCCATATTGGATCCCGTTCGAATCAACCTCGCTAGCAGGGTCGGGTTCGGTGGATCGAGATCAAGTGATCCGACCAAACAAACAGTCAGATCAACGAATCCATCGGATCAAGATCCGTAGATCCGACCAAACAAACGCGACCTCAATAACACAGGTTCACACGATCACCGATCAAACCGTCAATACCATGCAGGGTTCAATGAAAAGAAATTTAAGAAAATTTTTCAGAATAAAAAAAAACATGATCCTTTTACCAAAACAAAATAAAATCATGCAGATGTCAAATGTATTTTTTTATTAGATATAATAATTACCCCAATTAAATATGCTTAAGACTTACAATACTGACAATTTCCAATTTTCAGTAAAAATAACAACTTTGACAAATTTGAGTGCAATTTTGCGTACCATAAAAAAATGTCTGGGTACGCCCCTGCCATGTTCCCGAGCATAGATTTTCCACATGACGAGGCGTATGACAGGGGCCCGTCGTTGTCACAAAACAATATTAGTCTTAACATTAGTTTTAAAATTGACCCTTTCTCGTAGACCGGCCCTCTCTCTCTATATATAGTGGGTATGAGAAACTGCAAAACTTTACTGTGTTTCTGTCAACGGTTTCTGTTTACGAGAAAAAGTTAATGTTTTAAGACTAATGTCAAGACTAATTTTGTTTCTGACAAATGGCCCCTGAATTATTAGATAACACCTACTGCTTGTGGTTCCGGTAACAACGAAAACATTGGTAACCAGGGTAAACATTGGTAACCAGGAGTGAATAAAAACAGACTGTAAATAAAACAAAGGGAGCATTTAAAAAAAACATTTGTTGTTATTTGCTCCTGTTAATCACCGTATTTATCACCCTGCACACATCGCTAACGCGTTTGGCCAACATTTTTGCTAAACATGTATGTCAGAAAACACATCGTAATTGGGGGGGGGGATTCGCGAATTAGAACCACGAAGCAAGAGCAGCGAGATAAATAAAATACAGAGGAAACGCTAAAACTTGCTCTCGCTCTCTCTCTCTCTCTCTCCTCTCTCTCTCTCTAGCCTCGCTCTTTCTTTCTATGCACAGGATTACACGCGACTGATAGAGAGAGAGAGACAAGCTCTCTGCCCCTGTTTTAACCAACGGCCCTGGTTTTGCTGTACCAAGCAACTTGCTGCCAGAAACATTGCACAGTGTCCATGGACATCGTCTCTAACCTAGAGTCTAAACTCTCACGACTTTTTGGAACTCGAAGCACCGCTGAGAAATTAAATACGTTTTGACTCTACGATAGTTCTCAAGTTATGTTCTCAAGGTGCGTGTGACAAATTCCATTTACTCGCGATCGAACGCCTTTTCGCGCCGAAAACAATCACTCTGACATGCTGCTCGCCTTTCAGTAGTCTGATTCAGCCTTTTTCGTGTGCACGCGACCGTTTTTCCGTGACATCGCTGTCAAACTATTCTAATGTGGCGGTGACGTCCAGGCGCTCCGCTGCCGTGCGTCCGTCGACGGTTTCCGCGAACCTTAGAACAATCGCGACGACATCTAACGATGAATAGCCATGATATGAAACGCCATCTTGCGTATGACGTTCCCAGCGAAGCTAGCAAAAATGTCGGACAGTTCATTCGCATCATGAGTTGACTGTATCCACTGCGCGCGCATAGCCATTCAGTAACTGTTATAGGCTTCCAGTTGCATCTTCAAAATTATACGAGTATAACACGGTACACAGACGTTTAGTTTTCCTTTCGCATTAAGATTTCAATTGATGAGCTTACTATCGCAATAAGAGGTTTCAACGATAACCATAGTTTAAATTTAAGACAACTACGCAACGATCAGGGCAGAGTAGCTTATAGGATGTACAGTATGACATTAATTCTACTGGTATGTATGTATGTATGCATATATTATATATATTATTTATATGCGTGTGTGTATATATGACCAGCTGTTAACTATACACACACTCCAGCGGTACTATAACCTGAATGGTGTAACATTACCTCGTGAGAACGGTTGCAGGATTTGTCGCACGACACACACACAGCACGCACCTACAACACACAACGCACGCGACGCACCAACGCATGTCATGGCGTGCCTGCTCGCGCTGTGAAAGATGAGCAGTAGATATACGCCTCTTAAACATCCATAGCATGCTTTGTTCACACACGGCAACACACGACACGCAATGCAGCGCATGCGTGCACGCAGACATTCAGTTAACTCACACGACGCACACAACACACAGCACGCACGCACACACACCGCAGGCCACGCACACAACACACACACCACACACCACACACACACACACACACACACACAACACACAACACACACACACACACACACACACACACACACACACACACACACACCACAACACACACACACA